CTAAAAAATAATTTGTCTATGAAATGTACTGTTAGTGAAATATACTGTTTATGAATGAACTTGTCTGCAAATTAATCAACTGATATAAATAATCGGTCTTCCATGTATGTTGCAGATTCACGGGTTTTTTTAGCATTTTTATCTAATCCTATAATTGATTGGCCAATAATCTACGTAGATAAACTAATCACATGATATCCTGATATAACCAACCTAGGGTATAACCGTTATTCTTTTACTTCAATAGGATATAAAACCGGGTATTGGATTTTATTAAAGGGTATACCCTTTCGGATAAAGAGTTATCCGGGTACGACCACTACAAATGGGGTCGTCGCAGAATCATGCGAAATATGGATGATCCCCGGCGATTCAGGACAAGAAATAAAAGCGAAAAACTTGAAAATACAAAAAATGGCTACTTTGGGTAAGTTAATTAAAATGTCGGAAAGGCAATTTTGCTTATATATAATTGCTTAAAACCTAATATATCCCTAATATAAGATGATTCTAACCCTAAAGTTAATTCAACAAATATATATTATAAGAATCTATTCGGCTTTAGATGTCCCCATAAATTTATATAATTAGGAAAAGTGCACTTATGAAATGTCACTTATGGAATGTAATTTACATATAATATTACATTAGACAGATCAAATGATATGCACTTATAAAACAAAGTGTATGTGAAGTGCATTTATAGAAAGAAAGTGCGTGTGATGTGCACTTATGGAAGATCGGCTGCGTATCATTTTCCAACAATGATTATATGCTACTGCGAGTTAATTCGGAATGCCAATGGACGCTAATTCGAGACCGCATAAACTATTTTTGGAGGATTCAATTTTCAAAATAACGCCCACGAGCGTTATTTCGCGCTTATACTCAGTAAGAGCTTTAGTAAATTTATAATCTATCAATATGATCATATAGGTACAATATATAATACACATTAAAATGTTACTTTAGTAATTTTGCCTATTTTAAATCCTGACCCGTTTGACCCGGATTAGATTAATTTTCGACCCGTGACCCATACGGGTCATCTAACCCGGGTAATACCTCTAGGTACAACTTACATTCTTATTTTATTTTGAATTATATATCAATTTATTTAACGTTAAATTGAGTTTGATCCTCCAAGCATATAAAAGATTAGTAATGGTATAAAATTATTTTATAGCATTTACTGGTTTTATCACGATACCAATCCATAAAGCAAATCGTACGGAATGATTTTTAAAAAAGATCTGGATAGTTGGATGACCAAATTATATAATAAGAGGGTGTAAAATATCTATTTTAAAACTTACCATACTGATCTCATTAAATTTGTAGATAAAAAGAAATCACTACAATTTATATGATCCGCCATTATGACATTCAAAATGAATAACACCCTCATTTTTCACTGTGGTAGATCTCCGGCTATATGAGGCCCTTCGGACCCTCATATAACCGGAAATTTACGTCTTATTCCCGTTGTTGCGAAAATAAATAGTGCTTATTCATTTTTAATTTGGTTTCTTATTTCATTGATTTAGTGGCGATGATTATAATAGTGGATATATTTAAAATAAGTCATTACTTTATATTTATATTAAATTAGTCTGTAAGTATAGTCTAATATATTATTAAATTAGTCTGTAGTATAGTCTAAAATATGTCAAAAATTTTTTGCTGCTCCTTAAGCTATTTCTATCTCGGCAAAATTATAAATTATCTACCATTTCTCATTAAAATCACTTATCTAAGCTAATTTAGCCGGAAAGTATAAAATAATTTGTTAATCAAAGTATTCGAAAGTAGAGTTCCGTTTATCTATTTCTAATTTATTCGGATATCCATTTGTACTATATCAATATCTTACGTTATACAAAGAAGTTAATCAGATTCTTTTTAAATTGGCCAATCATATTGGATCTTATGTGGGGAGGCTTCATAGTAAATGGATATTACGTAATAAATGTCAGCGCCCTTACTATTAATATCTGGATAATCTGACAGATATTCAAATAATTATCCGAATATCAATAGTAAATAGATATCCGAATAGACTCAGATCCGGATATCTGAAAATTATCCGGATAAACACTAAACAGATTGGAAGCACTTCTTATCAGTTTTATTAGTTTATCGTCCATGTTGATTTGGTTGATGAACAATCTTTATTCAATTCGATTCAGTCATTACTATTTATTAATCGAAATATTTGAAATAATCTATTATTAATTTTTATTCGTTGTATGGTGCATTTGCAAAGCGCATCTGCTAAATAGTTTTCATTCAATCCAGTTTTTAATTTAAAATGAACAAAAAAAGAATAAATTCAACATGTGAATTATAATATGTCAAATCGCTAGAAGTACTCGAATATTCAATTTTTTAACCAATATCTGGATATTAAAAAAAGTTAGATTAATAAATATCCAGATGGTTAGTTTTAACTGGATCAGTTCATATCTCAAAGTCTCAATTCTTTCAGGAATTGTTTCTACAAAGTGTATCGATTAATGCATTTATATTATAAGACTCAAAGAAGCCAGTAAAGTGTTCTTGTAAACACATCTATCTATACTTTTTTCTCTCTTGTTCTTGCAGAATATGCCTTTTCACCTTCCATTCAAGTTTATTTGAACATGAGTCAGCATGGTTTTCTTAATTCAAAATATCAGTATTAAGTATGCTCAATTTTGATTGGTCAATTTAAATACTGCACCTCATAAAATTTAAATTCTTCTTCCCGGACTCAATGACCCGGCCGGGTTATGAGAACCAAAAAATCAACTTTGCCTAGCCTAATATAATAAATGAATCAAGCAGATTATATATGCTAATATATATAGTATATATAATACAATAAAAAATAGGATTATTCAGGACTATGTAATTGTAAAGCAACTAAGCTCTACGAAGTAAAAAAAAAATTATTTAATAACTGCTGTAATTAAAAATTACTAGTCTACATTATTTTGCTATTCTGCTTGATCTTATGAATAATCTAAACAATTAACAAGTTCATAGCGAAAGAGCTTAATTTTTTTTTATGGTTTGGTCAATGTTATTTCTTATAGCTGGGGGTAAAGTTGGTTTTCGTTATCCTAAAGTAAAGGTTTGTTTTTATATGTTTTAAAAACTCCTAAATAGACCAAATTATCCTAAATTGTTCTATATTTTTTACTAATTATATTTCAGTTATGAGTGGTGATGGAATAATTATGGTTGGTCATTAATTTAAAGAAATCGGCTTTAAAAGAATGAACACAAAGCGTTAGTAATTTAATTTTAACTCTAACACCAACCCGAACTTAGGCTGAGTGTTTAATTATGTATATAATTGGTTCCTTTTTTTTAGACTACCCGAATTTAACTTGTTAGTGAATTAATTGTTAATGAATTAAGTGTCGATGAAATAAATGCGCCAATAAAATGGACATGTTGATAATTAATCGTAAGTGATTTAAATGTCTGTAAAATAAACTTGTTGGTGAAATCTTGTGTCTACAAAAGGAGCATCAGTGAAGTGAGTAAATAACATCAAGTTCACTTGATTAAACTAATGCGAAATTAAGTTACAGTATAATAAGCATAAGGGATTTCAAATGATACGTAATCAATTTATTGTTAAACTATATGTATTGCCAAATACACTATTTAATTTGACATTCGTAATTCAAAATATGTTAATTTGATAAGCCCTACAAAGATTAGCAAACACCTTTGTTTTAAATAATTGACTATGAAGATTTTTTATATTACTCTATATATATTATACTTGTTATTTTACTACTAGTACAAATTAAAAATATCTATTTAATAAAATAGCTGCGCAGCATGTGATGCCGCACAGAACCAATACGATCACGCGTGTAAAATGCTTCTTCCAATACTTATTCGACATCTCACTAGTACATGGAATGTGTCAAGATCTAGTTAGTTTATGTCGGAATTATCGTATTTCTATCATGAGTTACAATAAATATTCTTGTAAAAACTTACTCATTATTCCAGTGGTATATAATAGTTAAAATTGGATCAGCTTTTGGTTCAATTTCCGGTTTAACATTTGGTTCAATGTTTGTTTCAGATTTTGGTTTAATTTCTGTTTCAATATTTTGTTCGACGTTTGGCGTAGCTTTTGATACCAGTTTTGTTGGGTTTTGTTGGTCATAGTTAAAAGGTTGCATAGAACTAATTGAATAGTCCTTTTTGTATAATGAATGTGTCTTTTCTTCATAATATTCATTCCAAGAATAGTATTTTGGATAATTATCAATCCGTATATGCAAATAATGAACACCTAAACCATTTGTGGATAACCATTTAGGAGTACTTATTTCCAAACTTTCAGTCAATTTATTAGCTACTTCTTGCCAAAACTTAATCTGCTGTTCTTTTGGAGCATTCTTAGTAAAAGTACTAAGATTTTTATAATCAAGATCATTACAAGGTATAGGAACAATTAAAGTCGCATCTTTTCCTAAATTAGCAAAACTACAAACATCATTGTTTAGATATTCAGTAAATTTTTCTTTGAAGCTTGAGTAATCTTGATTAATATAACTTAATGTGTCGGATTTAGTTACTACAAATTCAAACGGTTTATTTGTTGTTCCTTTAGATACGGGGGGACATTCCCAAAAATATGCGGATAGTTCATCCGTTGCTTCGTTTAAAGCTTTTTTGAATATGTCTAAAAAATCTTCATCACCTAAATGTAAAAGATATATAAATTCAGCGTAGCTCAATTTATTGTCATTTGCATTTAAAAAGTGATATTTAAGTGTATTGTTGTCAATAGATGTAAATTCATATTTAAAAATTGTCGATTCAACCATGACTACGTTAATAAAGTTGTAATCACGTACGTACGTACGTAGTCGTTAGTTATATACCTGATGGAATATTACAGTAATACTATATATAGGAAACAATGTAATTCCACTCAATTCAAAATAGACATCCGTATGATTGATTGATGTAAATCAATTGCCGGGTAACTTATTTATGCGTCTTAACTTTTTGAGAACGTGACATTTCACTAACAAATAAACACCCTAGAAAGATACCTGTTCATTATACAAAATATTCTAAAATAATTTAAATATAAGCTGACAAATCTTGCTTAGAAGGCACAGTATACCATCATTTATTGGATCGTGCGAACTAATTGTAGAGAGGGGTAACAGAAAACATCTAAAACTTTTTATTACATTAAATTTTTTTTGATTTAATAACCTCTTGACGTGTTGTTTGACGTTGTACTACATTAGTTTAACTATTAAATAAATTTTTTTCGCTAACTGTATAATGGCTTAAATTATTAGCCGATTATTAATAGTCGATTATTGAGTCAATGATCGATATTAGTTTGAATTTTTTTTTTTAAAAAAAAAAAAAAAATGAAATTTGAATTTGAAAGTTATCTATCGATGAGAAAGCTTAAATATAACTACTTAATTAGATTAACCGATTAATATTTAAAATAATCGTATTGATATCGTGTAACTATAAAATCGGGGAGCAACGCAAATAGAGTCACGGATATAGATTTAGCAGTAATCAACGAGTAATGCAATCACGTGCCAATGATAACTACAGTATACAGAAACTCCTAACAATAAAAAACGATCAACACAAATAAATAAGCAAAAAATTCCTACTTCCTAAAGTTAAATAAACTTAATCGAAATCTGGGCTTTATTGAAACGAACTGAGTCATTTTAGACGCGATAGTGTGTGGATTGATAATGCTCAATTATGTACTGTACATAATTCCCTTGAATTTGTAGAGGTATCACTATATTCTCATATCTTTCACTCCCTCTCTTTGTATATTTCATGTAACGCCACTATCTGTACATAATCCTTCCAACTAGTTTCTACAAGGCGTAAATTTAAACCAAGTCCAGGATAACAATAAACAAATGAATGTTCATTTATATATATAAGGAAATAAAAAAAAATGACGATAATAATGAATAACAAAAATAATACTAATAATAATAATAATAATAAATAAAAGTACAAACTCCAAATCAGGTTCACTCTGTACTCCTTTTCGTTATCGGATTCTGTTATCTGGATTCTGTTATCGGGTATTCAATATAACCTGGTATTCTAAATGCATGATTAATACCATGCTTCTTATATTGTTTAAAACAATGTTTTACTAAAATTTTTTCTGCACGACTTAGATACTTTGATCCATCACTTTTGCAACCTGTTTGGTCTCTTCCATTTAACCAAATGCTGCTGTATTTTAATTGTTTTTCATGGTAAGAAAATCCTCCACAACAAATAATGTCTTGATCGAAATCAAATCCAAATGTATTTTTAATAAGGTAGTGATGAACTCGACCTTTCCCAACATCACGAAGAACTTCTGCTGGCCAGTAATCAGTACACTGTATGATATAAAAGCTTCTTCCTCTATATCCTGATACTATGCCACCTGTATTTTCCCACGTGAATTCTCCATCAATCGCATAGACAATCATGCCAGCATAATCTTTATCTTCGTCGAATTCATCACTAAAGGCTGAAATTTTGCAAGTGATATCTCCTAATTCGGCTTTAATACGTTTATAAAGCTTTTTGAAATTTTCTTTACCCATCTTCTATTATAATAATAATTATTTCAAATTTATTATATATAAATTCTTAAAAATAAAACTGTGTTTAACTGTAGAATGATGCAAAAGTTGTCTATTTATAGGATTGAGACTTAATCTTTGATGTAATATTTTTCGAGTATAGAACTCATTATAAATCTTCTAATCAATAAAAAAGGGTGTCAAGTATGTGTATTGATCATTTATTGAATAGTATAAATCTCTATATGATTCAGTGTTGTTACACGAAAAGACAAAATACAATCTGATTGCCTACTGCTATAACACATGATTCCTATTATTGTTACATAAATTTGAACATAATACGTATCCATTAAATTGATGTTTAATATATTTGATATACTGTTGTATTATTCAAGAACTCCATTTTTAAAATTGAATAATACCTGTGGATACTGTGCGAAGAAGCGGTACTATATCATATTAAAAGTAGTGAATCAATATAGGTATACCACGGGTATTATTCAAGAAACAGGATGTAGGGTTGATAAATAACACCCAAGTTTTAATCATGGGTATACGGTACATTATAATTAGTATTTACTATATATATTTTTTATAATAATTTTTTTTATTTTTAAATTAAACAATTTTTTTTATATTTTGAATTCGGAGCAATGCGACGGGTCATATTTATACTGTATTGTATACTCATTTATACTTATGAGTACAATACTCTAAAAAAAAATTTTATACTTATAAGTATACATTTTATATGGTGCAGGACATCTAGTCACATCAAAAAATAATTGCTTGCAATAAAAGTTTAATATCTTTTTAAAAAAATAAGCAATTAAAAAAAAACTTTCTATAATAATATTATTTAAGACCCAAAGAACATCAGTATAGAAAGTTTTTTTAAAAAAGTTCTTTTATTAAAAAGTTATTTTGGATCAAAATTTCCTTAATTTATTAATATTTTAAAAAATTCAGCACTTTATTTTATTAGTAAATATAAAAAATTCAGCGCTTATATTATAAAATACTTTTTAATAGATTAATAAATATATAAATTTTTTTTTTCAAACTTTAATTTCTTTTTTTTTATTCAATCTATCTTAAAAAATTTCAGCACTATTAAACATTATATAAATTTTAAAAATTCAGCACTAAATTTTAAAATTCAATACTAAAATTTAAAATTCAGCATTAATTATTAAAATTTCAGCGCTACTATATATATTTATATATACATTTCGAAATTCAGCGCTTTGATGTGACTAGATGTCCCGCACCATAGCACATTGTAAGAGCAAAAGCTTTTGTGACATTGAATGCTGAATCAATAACAAAAACTTAATATAAATGTAAAGAAATTGTACAAACATTGAATTGTGAAATTTATACAAATTTAAACCTATAGTAAACGATTGTCCGAAGAATTCATTATACAAATTGATAATTTTTTTAATGCCCACATAAACTTTAAATTCACATCTAAAATTCACTATAAAAGGCCATTATAGGGATTTTGATTGTAAATAAATTTATAGCACTCACGAACAGATAAAATGATATTATAAAGTTTGTAAAGCTATGTATGAAATCTATACTTACAGGTTAAATTAACGGGGAGAGTTTAAGCTAGTAAACACGATTTGCAAGAAGGAATTTATTAAAAATTAAAAAAAAAGAACAAGTTATCTTGAAAGAAAATTACGTCATTAATCACTCTCACTTTCAAGAGGAAATGCTAAATTCTACATGGTTTCTGACTATACATACTACTGTGTATTCAAAAAGTTATTGAATTCATCTAATTCTACACTATCGTATGATACTTTATTTTTTGCAAATATAAGCGCCAAGAGAATAACTGTTTTGTTGCCTAGTTTGCAACATCAAGCTCTGAAACATATTCTTTCGTTATGTTACTATCAATAAAAGTAGGCATCTTCTTATGTTGGGATTTATTCTTTAACATGTCATAAATATGAGGAGTAATAAAAAATACAGTCAACCCTCCGTAAGTGCACCCTCCATAAATGCACGCACTATATATACCCTCTCTAAATGTACACTAATACTCAGTCCCAAGCATATAGAACTCTTAATAAAATGCCCTCCATAAATGCATATTTTTTTGAAAATTTTGCCTATGGTCTCAAGGGACATTTTACGCGAAATGAATTAATGAAGCCTTTTTTTTTAAAATATGTTTATACAGTAATAAGAATTTATTTTATATTCACCGGCCTAAGAATTTTTAGGGTTAGGGTGCAGTTTTAGGATAAAGGGTTTTTATATGACATAATAAGGTCCAGCCAGATTTTAGGTTTTCAGGTCCTGAACATTTTTACTTAGACACCCTAACTTTAATTACTTACAGTAGTACGTTTTTGAGATATAGCACCCGGTGAATTTCACCTCCGGTGAGTATTAAAATCGCCCTTTATTTATTATCAGCTTGGTCAATTTTTATAAAACTTAATAAATAGCCAGATTGTAGGGTCACTTTTAAAATTTTCATCACGCTTTATAAAGTGGAAATTTTTTGAAAAAAAATATACTATTGAGCATGAACAAATTAAGAGGGTTACGGTTAGAATGTATAAATAACATAGTAATGTCGAAATAGCATACAAGTCACTCTTGTTATAGGGTACTTCGATATATTGAAAACTAATTAAAATCTTGATATAGTGGAATTAAAAATTTCTCGATATAGTAAATTTACTAATAGAATTCTTGATACGTACAACATAGTTAATTTTATTAATGGAGACTATAATGAGAATGACTTGCACTAATTTTTTTATACTCCAACCTATTAGTGAGCATTGTACATAGAAATTATGCATTTATGATACTCCTACAATTACTGAATTAAACCAGGATTGGTACTATCGTAAACCTTTTGCTCTAGTCCATTACTTTATTTGGAATTTGAACGATTTTAAGCTCACCGGAGGTGAAATTCACCGGGGGAAGCTATATCTCAAAAAACGTACTATGTAATTAAAGTCAGGGCATATTAGTAAAAATGTTCAGAACCCTGAAACCTTACAAAAACTGAAATCGGAACCTTATATCTAATCTACATTATGTTATATAAAACCCCTCTTTTGTTCTAAAATTGTACCCTAACCC